TCCACCAGAGCAGAAGCACCATCTTCACGGGAAGTGGATTGCTACTCCTGTGAGTTGTAGGACCTCGCTTTTCTTAGACAGAGTGTGTGTCCTCCCATGCAAAACTGGACATCGGGAGGAGGGACCTTATTGTGAGAATTAACTATGACGACGTGCAAAAAGCACTTTTTTGGCTCTCTCTCTGGGATATATCCACGGAGCGTCAGTAAGTAGCTGTTTCTGTTATTACCAGGGCTAAAATTTTGGATTATAAGCAAAAACTCCTGAGCAACTAAGACAGAAAGTAAGGTGGGAAAATTTACAAGGCACATCCTTTCTTGAGGTTTTGATAAACATCAGAACAAGGAGGAAAGATCTGAAAAAGATACACACATACTCACACAGATGCGCAGTGATATGCACAGTTGAGGGAGTGAGAAAAGTTGATAGGTTTAGCCTTCGTGCCCCACTGAGTTTCCAAAAGCCCATTGAATGGCCAGAGATCTATTAAAATCAGCAAAGACTCTCCAGCGGCATTTGAGGACAAGACAGGGGTAGTGAACAGAGCAGAACTGGTGAGGAACTTTTGATGATCTGAACCAGAGGGAATCACATGGAATGAAAAGTCCATTGGAACCCACAATTCACTGCAGGCAAAAGAAGGCTCTCTTTGGAAACAGGTGAATCAGCCTCTCTGAAGGAACAGCCGGAAATATAGGTGCAAAGCAGCAAGGTCGGGGGTGAGGCCGAGCCAGGACAGTATGTCCGACCCATGCCCAGAGAGCCACCCGACCCAGGCTCCACTCTGAGGCAAGAATCCAAATGAGCATGTTTTGGATTCAGAAGCAGATTCAAGTGTGCATGACCTTGGGTTCCATCTTGCACCTCACTGACTTTGCATCTCACTATGCCCATCTGTAAAAGCAGAATGACAGAACCTACTCCACGGAGCTGGTGTGCAGTCATTAATGAATCTCCATCATGCTGGACCCTGCTCTGGGCACGGAGGACATCGCACGACCAGAGTAGACAAGCTCCCTGCCTTGATGGGCTGTGCACTCTGGTAGAAGGGAGAGGCAATTAATAGATAAATATAAAGTATGTCGGGGTGTCTGTCATGAGGAGCGCCGTCAGAGGGTGAGCAGTGTTTTATATAGGATTTCAGGATGGTTTCTCCATCAACATGATATCTGCATAGAGACCTTACGGGGTGAGTGACAAGCCGCAAGCATATCCTGGGGAGAACGTTCCAGGCAGAGTGAACAACTGGTGCAAACGCCCTTCCAGAACATGCCTGGAATGTTTAAGGACTAGCAAGGAGGCCAGGATGGCCAGAAGGAAACAAAGAAGGGAGACAGTGGCAAAAATGATGTCAAAGAGCTAATGGGGGCTGGATCATATACAGCTGAGCTTTCCAATATGGTAGCCACCAGTCAAATGTGGCTGTTAAGCACTGAAAATGTGGCTCTGAAATGAGATGTGCAGTAGGTGTAAAATATACACTGGATTTTGAAGGCTTTGGAGAATAAAAAGCATGTAAAATATTTCATGAATAATTTCTGCATAGATTATATGTTTAAATGATAATCTTTTTGCTATATTGGGTTAAATAAACCATATTATTAAAATTGGTTCCACCTGTTTCTTTTTCCTTCTTTAATGTGGATACTAAAAAATTTAAATGATGTATGTGGCTTGTATGATATAGGGTATTATAGGCCACAGTATGGAGTTTGGCATTTACCCTGGGCAATATGGGAAGTAAATAGAAATGAACATAAAGTATTCAGCTTATTTCTCAGAACAGAGTGGAAAAAGCTTATAAAACTAGAATTCCATTCCCGGGCAAATTGCTCAAATGTAAATGCAAAGAAAGACATTTGGGGAGAAGACATTAGATTCAAGAAAGAATAATAATAAAGTTAGTAAATGTTTAGTTCAAATAACTGTTTAGAATGTAGGGATGAAGTTTAATAAAACTGGCAAGGAATGATTATTGAAATACAAAACATAAAGTAAAATAAAAAAGAATCTGACAAACAGATAAAACTGGATACATTCCCAAATTCCCAATGGGTCAGAGAAAAACAGGCAAAAAAAAAGAAACAAGTGTTCCATTTCAGCCATCCTCCTAGATGTAAACTTTACGCTTTTTAACTTGCATTGCCATGATGCCAATGAGGTTAAATACTTTTCATGTGCTTACTATTGGTGTCTCTCCTTTTCTGAAGTGCATGTTGAAGACTTCTGCTTATTATACTTTTTTTGGAGAGTTGTCCTTTTATTTCCTATTGATTTGTAGGTGTTCAGACATTCTACATAAGAATCCTTTGTTAGATGCATGCATGTTGGATGTTCTTCCAAACTGTGGTTTGCCTTTGCATTCTTTCTTGGTGCCTTTAAATCACAATCAACAGTCTGAATTTTAAGATTTTTTATTTATTTATTTTTATTTTTAGAGAGATAGAGAGAGAGCAGGGGGCGGGGCAGAGGGAGAGGAAGAGAGAAAATCTCAAGCCAACTCCGCACTGAGTATGGAGTCCAAAGGGGGCTCGATCCCACAACCCTGAGATCACAGCCAGAGCTGAAATCAAGAGTTGGATGCTCAACCAACCCAATCACCCAGGCACCCCAACAATCAACATTCTAAATTTTAAGGTAATCCAAATTTTTCCATCTTTTCCTTTATGGTCGGTACTTAGTGAGTCTTGTTTTAAACAGTCTTTGCTTGAGCTGAAGTTAGGGAGATACGCAATCTTTAGGAAGCTTTATATTTACCTTTCCTATTTAAGTCTATGATTCTTCTCTAATTTTTGTCTATGGTATAAAGCAGGGGTAACGGATCATTGTTCTTCATATGGATATCCAACAGACCTATCACCCTATATTGAAAAGTAATCCCTCCCCTGACTTGCAATGTCACTTTTGTAATAAATCAAGTGACAATACATATATAGATCTGTTTGGAGCTCTTTATTCTGTTCCTTTGATCTATTTATCTATCTTTGTGCTCATATCATAGTTTGTTAATTATTGTGGCTTTAAGGTAAGTCTTGAGAATTGGTATATAAATTCTCCACTTTGTTCTTTTCCTTCAAGATCATTTCAGCCCTTCCCAGTACATCCACATTTTAGAATAGGGCTGCCAATATCTCTCCCTCTAAGTCTCTCTCTCTCTCCCTCCCTCTCTGCCTGTCTGTCTCTCTCTGTCTCTCTTTCTCTCACACACAAATATACAACTGCTAAGCAATGTTAGCGACAAAGTAAAGAATTAGAAACTTAAAATTTTTCATATCCATGCACCCATACTGATAGAAATTAGTGAATAAATAAATGAGAGAAGGTGTCCAGCTTTTCCTTACAGAAGAATTTCAAGTAGTAAAAATAGAAGGATTTTTTAAAAGATTTTTTTATTTATTCGAGACAGAGATACACAGAGAGAGAAAGAGAGCACAAGCAGGGAGAGAGGCAGAGGGAGAAGCAGACTCCCCACCAAGCCAGGAGCCCGACACGGGACTCGATCCCAGGACCCCAGGATCATGACCCAAGCCGAAGGCAGACGCTTAACCGACTGAGCCACCCAGGTGCCCCAGTAAAAATAGAAGGATTAAGGAAAATACAAAACCACCATCAGTACACCATAGCAATAACTGCTACAAGCAAAATCCATTGATGAACACTAAAATCATGGGCAAAAGTTCAAGGAAAAACAGGATATTTGCTTATACTTGACATATCTCCCCCAAAATATTTATTAATTACTGTAATTACTGTGTTGGTTAACAGATGTCCACAAATTCTTTAATATTCCTCCTTCAGAACAGGGAGCTTCTCTCCTCTCCCTGAGTGTGAACTGGACTTAGTGACTGGCTTTTTTTTTTTTTTTTAGATTTTATTTATTTGTCAGAGAGAGAGAGAGCACAAGCAGGGGGGGTGGCAGGCAGAGGGAGAGGGAGAAGCACGCTCCCCGCCGAGCAGGGAGCCCGATGTGGGACTTGATCCCAGGACCCTGAGATCATGACCTGAGCCGAAGGCAGACGCTTAACCGACTGAGCCACCCAGGCGTCCCTAGTGACTGGCTTCTAACAAACAGGTATGGAAAGGGGAAAATAGTAACTTTGTATGGAGGAAGCCCAGAAAACACCACCCTAACGAACCAAGCTATCATGATTAATGTCACTAATAAGACATATTGATATCATGCATCCCCAAAAACATGCCATGAGGAGGAAATATCACTTCTGTATTCTTGTCCAAAATCCAGAACCTCATCTCTACTCATCAGAAAATCTCAGAGAAAGCCAAATCAAGGGATAACTGGCTGCTTCTCTTCAGAAGTGTCAAGGCCACAAAAGAAAAAAAGATTAGGGAACGTCACAGACTGGAGGAGACTAAGGATGCACGACAACTAAGTGCAATGTGATATCTTGAACTGGATCCTGGAACAGGAGAAGAACATGGGTGGAGAAACTGCTGAAATCTGGCCGAAGTCTGGAGTGTGGTTAACGGCAATGTGCTGATGGTAATCTTACTTTTGACAAAGACACCAGGGCTATGTGAGATGCTCACCCTAGGAGAAGCTGGGTGAAGAGCAGACAGGAACTCGCCATGTCTTTACAACTCTTCTGTAAATCTACAGTTATTTCAAAATAAATAGCTATGACATATTTTCTGGAAGGTTCTTCAGCAGTCTCTTCAGAGTCATTATCAGGTAAATTTACATAAACAGGTCCATATTCTATTTATACCTTCTGGAGTGTGGCTTTTTTTTCCCCCTTCTTTTTGAAAAATAGCATTTCTAATGGAACATGGTTCTCCTTGGATTTTTTAAAAGCCACTGTGGGAACCAGATGTGGAGAAAAGATGGCTCAAAAGCTGACCCAAGAAGAGAGAATGCCTTCATTTGGGGACGGAAGCACCAAGAACTTGCAGCACATTTTGAGTCAGTCAAGGTACTCCTTGGACCTCACGTGTGTTTAAGGCTTGAGGGGACAACAACAACACAGAATAAGGTTACTCACCAGGGCGACTTTCCTTTGTGGTTTCAGCAGCTTCGGTTTATGGAATGTGGTAGCTATGGGAGCTGTGGAAGGATGTCAAGGGTTTAGCTTGCATTTCCTCCAGGACTTGTAACACCCACGTAGCATGAGCATCACAGACATACTCTGTGGAGACTCACGCACCCCTCCCTGCCCCCACAGAAGAAGTTCGGTTTCTGATCTAGGCATCACTGGGTGCCCCTCCATGGAGAGCAATCCTCCCCTAGTCTTTGGACATGTCATAATCTCCCAACAGCAAGGTCAATGAAACAACTCTGCATAAAACACTGCCAGCTACCAAGAGGTCAGGTGTGCAGGTGAGAACCAGGTATGTCTGGTAAAGCCTGAGGCCGGAAACTTCCCTGGGCTTCATCCTAACTACACAGTAACAGTTAAAGCAGTGACCCCGACCCTCAGAGCAGCCCTCAGAGGTCATCAGGGAGGCGGGTCTTATTGTCCCCATTTAACAGAGGAGAAAATTGAGGCTCTTTCCCCCAAATATCATGTAATGAGTACTTCAATGTTTTGGAACTTGAACTTGACCTTGAAAGTTAGGCAGCCTCACCTCCAAGCCAGACTCTACCACTTAGCTCTCTGAGGCTCACTCTCATCTTTTGTAAGGTAAGGTACTATCTACTCTGATTGAATGAGACGTTACGCAGGGTTCTCTGCCCCCTTCCCTCCCCAGACCGACAACTTGTCATGCCTCCCAGAATGCCCAGGCCTTCCAGCCCCTCTGTCTACCCAACATGTGTTCAGCCTGAGCACCAGTGGCTTTTAGCACAGGACCCCAAGGATCTCTAGGGGACAGTCCTAGTACTTCCAACTACATTTCAAACTCTTTGAGGTATGAACATCTCCAAAACTGACCACAGTTATTTTAGGAACTATCTGTAAATGGTCTCAGTTCTCCTAAGACATGAGCAGTTCTCCAGAAACATTCATCTTTCTCACCTATGTTGCTCTACATTACAACTGGAATCAAAGACTAACCCTCATTTTATCCCTAGAACAAATCCAAAATAAACTACATACCTGGTTTACATCCTTAGAAAAATCAGAGAGGCTTCATTCCCTTGAATGAACCAAGAAGATGTTGATACCCCTTTGTCCCACCCCACTATGTGTGAGAATGTTAATAGTTCAAGGTGAAGTACATTGTGGAATCAATCTGTGCACGTTGACCTCCCCCCTCCCATCTCCCCACTAATGCCATGCTGGGCCAGTGCACCACCCCCAGCCCCACCTCGGTGATGGGTCTCAGTTATGATCAGAATCTAGGTGGGGTTCTGCAAGCCATATCATCAGCAGATGTCACATCCTCCATCTGTCTACTCCCCCTGTCCCGATCCCACTGCAGACCCCAGACCCACTTCTAGATCAGCCGTGCTGGCTCCCACGTGGGTAACTGTAGGCTAGACTCCTACCTTTGGCAGGCACTGCAGGAGGAACGTCGGCCTTCTCCTTCCGCCTCTTGCCCTTCTTGGGTTGCAGTGGGGCCAAGCTGGTCACACTGGTCACGGTCTCCCCTGAGCTATACAAGAAGAGAGTCCTGGTAAAGGCAAAAGCAGGTTTGTTCCAGAAAAAGGGAAAGGAAGCCATAGTTTCTGTGGGCTTCCTGAGTACCTACGTAAGGTGAAGTTCTCTTACAGCTGGACTGGGATCACTCTATGTTGGTCTCCAGGGATGCTGGGAGGTCTAGTACTGACCTGTGGCTAAGATAAGGATGGTGAGGTGAGCTAGTTAGTGATGTATAATGTGCTGTTTAACGTTCAAAGATCCCTGGAGAGATCCAGGGCCAGCTTGTCTACACAGTTACAGATGCAGAGATTGATGGTTTATACAGGTTGCATCAGGAACACAGTCTGGCTCGGCCACATCACCAGTAGGGTATTAAGAAACGATTAGAAACTTCTGCTTGAGCTACCCTAAAACTAAGATTTGCACGTATTTTTGTGGTTCACAATCCACAAACAGAGCACCTCCTATGCAAGGGACAAAGGACTGTGGGAGCTGCACCCAGAATTCTCCAGGGTCCCCCATGATTGTTCACACTTTCTTTTCCTGCTGTAACTTTACCTTTAGTAGAGAGTAAGCGGCTTCCCCCTGAGGAGGGCTGTGGGTGTTTTCAGTTATCTGGCCCTGTGCAATCACTGTGCTCTCAGGTTCTTTGTATGTGTTACCCAGAATGATGGTACTGATAAGCCTTATATTGCAGGTAAGAAAACCAAGATGTAAAGGCGTTAAGTGACAAAAGTTACACACACAGACTGGCTTGATGGGAAACCTCGATGCTACATGTGGGCTGGAGTCCATGCACTTCCTTGAATGGCTATCACTCTTAACTCAAATGTGTCGTATTGGCTCCAGCAAAGGCCCCTTTCAGAATCTCTTGTCCTGAGACACATGTTCCAGCCAGGTAGGTGCAGTTACCAAGAGAGGTTATCTCCCTAATACATAAAGAATTTCTAGAAATCCGTAAGACTATGACCAACTGCCTAATAATCAAAATGAAGGAAGGCAGTAAGCAGTTATCACATGAGAGGAAAGGCTCTTACCTATGAAAACACGCTAAGGCTCCTTCACGAAAGGAAGCCAAATTAAAACACACTGCACTTCCTTTCTCCACACATCAGAATGACAATAATCACACTGGAAGCAAAGCACTCTTTTGCCAAGGATGTAGAGAATCGGGCACTCAGAAGTAGGGCTGGTATGAGTGTAAACCCTTCCCGAAGGAGAATAACTTGGCAATCAGAATAACCTGGCAATCAGAATAATTTGGCAATCAGAGCTATAGAGGCTTATACTCTGACCCAGCAATTTCACTTCCGGGAATTTATTCTGTGGATATCCTTGCACGTGTATGAAATGTACATGTAAGAATCGTCCTTATGGTGCTGTTGTTGATAGCAATGGATCAGAAAGAACCCAATTGTCCATCAGCAGGGGACTGGTTAAGGAAATGGTGGTGAGTCTACAAATACACATGTGGGGTTCTCTGTAGCTGCAAAGAGGAGTAAGAAGCTATTTATGTGCTGATGAGGAAAGATACATTGCTAAGTGGAAAAGCTGGGTGTTAGACAATGTATAAAATGTGCCCCTTTTTGTATTAAAATAGGGAAAAATAAAAATATATATTAGTGTTTGCATATACATGCATAAAGAAATTCTGGAAGCAGTCCAAAGAATTTTAAAATAGTGGTTCCTGAGGCACCTGGGTGGCTCAGTAGGTTAAGTGTCCAACTCTTGGCTTCAGCTGAGGTCATGATCTCAGGGTCATGATATGGAGTCCCACGTCCAGCTCTACACTCAGCACAGAGTCTGCTTGGGATTCTCTGCCTCTCCCTCTTCCCCTGCCCCTCCCCCCATTCGCCTGCTCGCTCACTCTCTCTCAAATAATAAATAAATAAATAAATTAATTAATTAATTTTAAAAATAAAATAAAATAGTGGTTCCTTAAAATGGGGGTGCTGAGGAACGAAGCAGATGGGAGACCAGGCAGGAAGAATTATCACTATATATATTTTTAGTCAATTATTTAACCTTTTTTTTTAAAGATTTTATTTATTTGACAGAAAGAGAGGGAGAGCACAAGCAGGGGGAGCAGGAGATGGAGAAGCAGGCTCTTGCTGAGCAGGGAGCCCAACGTGGGACTAGATCCCAGGATGCTGGGATCATGATCTGAGCCAAAGGCAGACCCTTAATCGACTGAGCCACCCAGGCACCCCAATTATTTAATTTTTTAATTTTAATTTTTAAACCATGTGATTGTATAATCATTAAAAAAAATAATCATTGCAAAACAGTAAATTAAACACAAATAAGTATCTGCATACACTTAAGAGAAGGTAGGCTATTCTAACAGAGTTCTAGGGTTTTGTTTTGTTTTGTTTAAGATTTTATTTATTTATTTGACAGAAAGAGACAGTGAGAGAGAGAACACAAGCAGGGGGAATGGGAGAGGGAGAAGCAGGCTTCCTGCGGAGCAGGGAGCCCGACACGGGGCTCCATCCCAGGACCCTGGGATCATGACCTAAGCCCAAGGCAGATGCTTAACGACTGAGCCACCCAGGTGGCCCTAGAGTCCTAGGGTTTTTAAAATTAACAAAGACTGACTCACGCATTGTGGGAAAAACTCCAAGAATACATATCGTGCTGAGAGTCCCCAAAGATGGCTTATTTTTACTGGGAACTGAAACTCCAACTGGCCATAAGTTGAGAGTACAGGGTCAATTGTGTAAACTCACAAATAGCCCAAAGGAATGTGCGTTTACAAAACGCTGACCACTAAGAAGAAACAAGGGATCAAAAACTCTCAGAATTGTTTAAATACACAACTGCAGGTACAGCTTCATCTCATAGCTTTAAACTCTTTAAGTGTTTATTTTTTTCTTTCCATTATAAATTAATGCACATTCATGTTTTCAAATGGTAATTACAGGCATGGAGAAAAAGGAAAATAAATAAGTCTAGCCTAACCAAAACACAGCCTATTTAAATATTTCCAGTCTTTTTCCTCTTCCTTGCTTAATTTTTTTAATGGACTTCATTTTTTTTTTTTTAGAGAAGTTTTAGGTTCACAGCAAAATGGAGCAAAAGGTACAGAGATTTTTCATATGCCCCCCCACCCCCCCCCACCATATGTGCAACCTCTCCCATCATCAACGTCCCCCGCCATGGTGGGATGTTTGTTATAACTGATGAACCTACATCAAGACATCATTAGCACCCAAAGTCCATAATTTACATTAGGGCTCCCTTTGGGTGAGTTCCATGGGTTTGGACAAATACATAATGTATCCACCGTGTAGTATCAGACCGAATAGCTGAACTGCCCCCAAAACCTCTGTGCTCCACCCATTCATCCCTCCTGCCCCCCAACCCTTGGCAACCACAAATCTATTTACTGTCTCCATAGTTTTGCCTTCTCGGCAATCTTACATAGGTGCAATCATACACTAGGTAGCAGCTTCTTTCACTTAGTATTTAAAGTTTCCTCCAAGGGGAGACGAACCATGAGAGACTATGGACTCTGAGAAACAAACTGAGGGTTCTAGAGTGGAGGGGGGTGGGGGGATGGGTTAGCCTGGTGATGGGTATTGAGGAGGGCACGTTCTGCATGGAGCACTGGGTGTTATGCACAAACAATGAATCATGGAACACTACATCAAAAACTAATGATGTAATGTATGGTGATTAACATAATAAAAAAAAAAAGAAAAAGAAAAAAAAATAAAGTTTCCTCCAAGTTTCATGGCTTGATAGCTCATGTCTTATTAGCCCTGAATGATACTCCACTGTCTGGATGTACCACAGCTTTTTTATCCATTCCTGTACTGTAGAATATGTTGGCTGCTTCCAAGCTTGGGCCATTATGAATAACACTGCCAGCAGTGTTTATCCATGTCCAAGCTTTCGTGGAGACATTAAGTTTCAATCCTTCCTTGATTTTTATACATTGTATTTTTTTTTGTCATAACATATTTATACTTTCGTGCCCTTCTTTTTACCTAATCTCTCTTTTCCATATTGTTACATCCTCATACTATTCCGGTAAGAAGCTATGCCACGGTCTTCTCAGCCAATCCCTGACATCTAAGTAATATTGATACCTGAGTAATATTGCCATAAATGTATTTGTGCATCATAGTTTCCCACTCTTGGACTTTTGTTTTAGGTGAGAGTCTTAGAGCTGGGATTACTAGTTCATGGGGGAGGACCATTTTAAAGGGTGTCTAATCCCCACTGTCCAAATGATCTCCAACAAGTTAGTACTACCTCACAGCCACTGTGGACGAGGGTATCTCTGTCTTCAGCCTAAATTCAACACCAGGTTTATCAGCTTAAAAAAATTACTCGCTTAATGAATAAAACTGTAATCTCCCTTTTACTTGCATTTCTCTGACTGCCAGTGAGAATGAGCATTTCCAGCATGTGTCTAATCGTGTTTCCCCTTTTACGAATGATGTATGGACATCTGCTATCATGTATTAGGGTCCTGAGTTTTTCCTACAGGTTTGCATGCACCTTTCACATTGGTCTGACATATTTATTGCAAACATTTCCCCCAATTCCCTTTGAGTTGTGGTTTCTTGTTAAATGCACAGTGACTTGTTTCTTTTGCTAAAATCATTCAGTGTTTTCTTTTTGTCTGTTGCCTCTGAGCTTGGATCGTCCTCCCCAGCTGCACCTCACACCCTGCAGAATCAAAGATTTCCCCTTCCTCTTCTCTTTTCTTGGACTTAGTTCTTTAGCTCTTTAATATAAAATGAAAGTTTTGGGACATCATTTGTATAAATGCGTGCTTTCAGGCCCAGGGCGTTCAGTAAGCTGAAAAAGATCTGCTTTGTCATCACCGTTTTCCTTCAGAACAGCAAAGCTGCACTAAACTAAATTTAGCTCTAATTCATACTTCAACAATGAGAATTCATATACAATGAGTCACCCCCCCCACGACATGACAGATGATTTTGCTCACAGAATACTAGGTCTCCCACTGAGCCAGCAAGACCGGCAGAAATTTTTGACAAAGAAACTCCACATTATGAT